CGCACAGCAGCCACACAAGTCAGCTTTGGGAGCTCTCGGCGACGCCCAATGCGTGCGCCGGTAGGGGGGAGTGTGTGCGCGCGTGTGTGAGATGAGGATTGTGGCAGGCTGGCTGCTGCTGATGTGGGCAAGTGTGCTCTGTGTGCGGCGCTGCGCTGGCGTGCGACGCGCGCGTGCTGTGTACGTGTGCGTGCTGCGGTCGCGCGCGCGTCTGTGTGTGCTGCGCGCGCGCCGCCGGTGTGTGCTGTGCGCTGTGCTCTGTTTTGCGCCCTGTTTGTGCAGCTGGGAGGCGCAGGCTTGGCTGGCAGGGCTGCGCGGTGGGCTGCGGCGTGCTGCGGGTGGTCGCGCGCCTGCCTGATGGTGTACGGCGGCCGCGCAGCCCGCCCGACCGGGTCGTCGGCGGCCCAGGGCGCGAGCATGCGGTCGGCGCTGCATGTGAGGCTATGTGCGCGGCTGGCGCGTATGTTTCCGTGCGGCGAGGGACGCGCGTATGTGTTCACGCTGCGGGCGCGGGCGGGCGCGGGGGGCGGCGCGGTCTCACCGCGGTCCGACGTCGGTTGGTCTTCGGCGTGGCGAGGGCGGGCGCGCAGAGAGGCCTTGCCGCCATCGCGTTGCCGCGAAGGAAAAAGAATGTCTGATCTAACCAGAAAGAGCCATCGAAGAGCCGTCGAGCTACATGAGACCCAAGCAAGTCGTCGTGATGTACCAGAAAACGAAACTAGCGCCAAAATTGAGATAAGGTAGGTAAGGTAAACTTCTCCACACACACGAGGTGGTGGGGCAAGGGGAGGCAACCCTCGCGTCTCCACGTCTAACGACAGGAGCCAAATTGAGATCTCAGGATGACATTAATTTCTCGCGCCTACTTTCGCTGCTTGAGACTCGCCAAATAGATCCTGCGTCTAGGGGCGAGGCTCACGAGTCGGCGACGAGGATCTGGGGCGACCTCAACCTCCTCGGCATCGAGAAGCGGGACGACGACGGCAACTTTGTCGGCACCCGGCCGATCGGTATCCCGGCCGCGATCCGCCGCCTCGCCAACCGCGTGCTTATGAAGCACCGTTGCACCGACATGTGCAACCTGCTGACTGGCGGCTCGGCTGACGCTCGGCGCATCATTCGTGAACATTATGACTTAACTTACCTCTTGTGGCCAGTGAGTGCTTCTTTTCGGCGCCGCCGCGCCGCCCGCCCGCGCGCCACCCCTTTTGCGCAGCAACACCTTAAACTTCATGGCCCCCCAAATTCGGGTCGGAGCGTAGCGGAGTGGGACCCGAGTTTGAAAAAGGCGACGGACGCTTGCGTCCTAGCCTCCAACAACGCCTCCCCGGCGCAGAGGGGCCCCCGGAGGGACGCTCAACCGCCCCACGCCACGCCGCTTGCGGCGGTCCTCTTCCCTGCTCGCGGGGGCGCACATATTTCTTCTTTCGCGGGCCCCCCTCACATCTTCAGCCCCGACAAGCCCCGACCGACGTTGAGCTTCTGCCCCGTACATCCCCACCCCCTGCCACCCCTCACTGACACACCCCCGACACGCACATACAAGACAAACCCGGCGTCCTGCTCTCAAAAGAAAAGAAAAAAGGTGGCGCGACTTTTCTTCTTTCCGGCCAGTTCCGGCTCAGAATTCAATCGAATACCCGGTACCGGGCTTCATGAGGGCGCACTTGCACATGAGAGGCGCCATCGGCCCAACCCAGCTCGCCGACCTGGCTCGGGGCGACCTGGCCTCGCTGCGCGCCCTCCTCTCCGGACGGCGGACGCGCGGCACGTCGCTCGCGGCCCAGCTCGACGAGCGGCACGACACCGAGAAGCAGGACACGCTGCTCACCTGGGCCGCTCGTCACGGGCAGGCCGAGGCGGCGCGGCTGCTGCTCGAGGGCGGCGCGAGCGTCGGGGCGACGACTGGCGGCGGCGCTTCAGCGCTGTACATCGCGTGCCAGGAGGGCCAGCTTGAGTGCGTCCGGCTGCTCCTCGAGGCTGGCGCGGCGGTCAACCAAGCCGAGGGGCAAGGCGCCACGCCGCTGTTCGCGGCGTGCCAGGAAGGCCACGTCCAGTGCGCCCGGCTGCTTCTTGAGGCTGGCGCAGTGGTGAACCAAGCCGACGGTGATGGCTTCACGCCGCTGTACGTTGCGTGCCAGGAGGGCCAGCTCGAGTGCGCCCGGCTGCTGCGCGACGCTGGCGCTAACATCAACCAGGCCGATGAGGAGGGTACCACGCCGCTGTACATCGCGTGCCAGAACGGCCACCTCGAGGGCGTTCGGCTGCTTCTCGAGGCTGGCGCGGCGGTCGGCCAAGCCCTGAATGGCGGCGCCACGCCGCTGTACATCGCGTGCCGCTTTGGCCATCTCGAGGTCGCCCGGCTTCTTCTCGAGGCGGGCGCAGCGGTAAGCCAAGCCCGCAACGACGGCACCACGCCGCTGTTCATGGCGTGCCGGGAGGGCCATCCCGAGTGCGTTCGGCTGCTTCTCGAGGCGGGCGCGGCGATCGACCAAGCCCATGAGAATGGCGCCACGCCGCTGTTCGCGGCGTGCCAGAACGGCCACCTCGAGGTCGCCAAGCTCCTCTCCTCCTACGGCGCCTCCCGCGCCGCAGTGCCGCCCTTCGGCACGCCCGAGGAGGTTGCAACCGAAGATGGCCACGCCGACCTCGCCGCCTGGCTGGTCGCCAGCCGCGGCTGGACGCCGCTCGCGCACCTTGAGACCCTCACCGCCGCCCGCGCTCTCTCCCTGCTGCGCAGCGGCGCAAGCTTGCACGAGGGTGAGCCGACGCCGCTGCAGCGCGCCGCGGGCGGCGAGGGCGAGGCGGCGGCGCTGGTTCGGCGGGCGGCGGCGCCGTGGTCGCCGGCAAGCCACTCGCTCTTCCCCGCGCCGGCCCGCGCGCGGGCGGCGCGCCTCGTCCTCTCGCTCTACGAGATCCACGAGTGGTACCACCTCGACTCGGCCGGAGCCACGAACGGCATCGCGGCGCTCGACTTTGGCCACTGCGTCTTGGGCTTCGCCATCGCGCGCGAGACGCAGTAGCTGAGGCATGGCGTGCGCCCGTGTTGCCGCAGGTGGCGGCGCGCGAGGCGACATGAAGAGCCCTGATCGCGGCCAGTGCTTCGGTGCGCAGCTCATTCGTGTTCCAGGTGCGGAGTGTATCGTGTATGAGTCGCAGCGTGAGTGTGCCGCACGATGCTCTGCGGTGTATCGACTCTCTTCTAGACGTGGTGTGTACTCCCTTGTCCTCGGATTTTCCACAGACCACACACGAACAGAGAGACACGAGAACGCGGCCGAGAAGCGAGAAGAGCGAGACCAGCCGGGGCGAAAACTCGTCGAAGGCCGAGGACATCCCCGGGGAGCGCGCGGGCGACGCGGGCGACTTTTTTATCATTTATGTAATGACGTGACTTTAAACCAAGTGGCGCCGCGACAACAAGAAACAACAATGCTCCAGCTTGTCGCACAAGTCACAAGTTCACAGACACCTCGAGCAGGGCCGGGTGGTTGGTCCAGAGCCCCCAGCCGTCTGGGAACGGCCTCGTCGGCGCGGCCGCGTTGTACGCGTCAAAGTCGTCCGCGAGGGCCCTCAGCTCGCGCTGGAAGTCGGCATAGCTCGCGCGCAGCCCCTCCTCCCCCGCCACACCGCCAAACAGGTGCGACCAGTCATCCTCGGAGCCGGGCGCGGCGAGCAGCTTTGGCATCGGCATGAAGGTGAAGGAGGTGAGGATGGCCTGTGTGATGGCCGACTGCTTGTTGCCGCGCGCCTCGCCCACCGGCCAGCGCCACGCACAGAAGCGGACGTCCTTCGCGTACACGGCGAGGTGGCCCGCCTGCTCGTGCCCCGCGGTCACACGGTCGCACACCGTCGCGATGAGGCAGGTGCAGAGCTCCGCCAGCTGCGGAGGCGGCAGGCCGCGCACGGCGACCACCTCGTGCGTCCCGCCCGCGCTGCCCGCCCCCGGCTGAGCGACGAGCGGCGCCGTGGTGGAGAGCGAGCGCAGCAGCCCCTCCGCAAAGCCGGTCATCTCCGCGTCGGCGGCGAGGCTTGCGGCGGTCGGGTACACGGCCCGGAGCGAGGCCTCAACGTACGCCTTGAAGACGCGGTACAGCCGCCCCGCCTGTTTGGGGTGGGGGGAGGGGGGGGTGTAGAGGCGGGCCGGGAGCGTCGGTGACAGCAGAGGCAGGGACGGCTCAGGCGGAAACGCTGTCGGAAAGCCTGCCGCTCGTGCCTCGGAAGTGTCTCGGAAGTGTCTCGGAAGTGTCTAGGAAAAGGCTGTCGGACGCGCCTGCCGCTCGTACGGCGTGTCGACGCCGCCGGCGCGTCGCGCCTCGAGGTAGCGCTCGCGGTCGACGATGTGCATGAGCCGCTCGAAGGGCGACGCGCCGGAGAGCTCGGCCGCGGCGCCGCCTGGCTGCATCGCCGCGGCGCACACGAGGGACGGCGCTGCGTCCCACGCGAGCTGGAGGCCCTCGCCGGTGAAGGCGAGGGTGCGTGACACCATCGAGCGCTCGGCGACGAGCAGGTCGTGCGCTCGGTCGTTGACGGTGATGGTCTGGTGCAGGAAGGGCGTGAGGAGCCGCCGAAGCGGGTGCGAGGCGGACAGCGTCTCGCGAAGAGCCACGGCCGCGGCCGTCGAGAGGTCGAGGTGGAGCTCGAAGAGGTGGTCGACGACCTGCTCAATGTCCACGCGGTGCAGGAGACCCCCCCTCGTCGGTGTGTCTCCCCCCCCTCCCCCCCTCCCCCCCCTCCCTCCCTCCCTCCTACATCGAGGGCAGACGGGGTAGACTGGGTGGACCGGCGGGCAACTGTGGTAGACGAGGCGACCGCAGTCTACCGCAGTGGACGGTGTAAGGACGCCAGTCTACCGGCAGATCCGCGGGACCGCCGCGAGGAGCCGCACGAGCCAGCTCAAGGAGGAGGTCGGCCGCCATCAGGTCTTCGATGATGGCGCAGTGCATATCGCACCACATCTCGGCCACCCGTCGGCGCTACCTGGGCGGGCCTCGGCTGGATCTCGGCTAGGCTACGTCGCGGCGCCGTCACGAGCGTGAAGACGGAGGAGCGCACGCAGAACTTCGCGTACTCCCACGCCGCGGGGTCGCCGTCCGGGTAGAAGGTGCGCGTCGTCAGCTGGCGCGCCTCGAAGCCGCGCGCGGCGCCGCTCGGCCCGACGCGTCCCGCGGCGCTTCCGGCGGGCTCGCACCGCTCGATGCGTAGCACGCGCCAGGATTCGTCAAAGTACGCGTCTGCGCCTATACTGGTCGACGACTCGGCGTTGACGTCATGCGTTGGGCAGCGCCGCATCATCGGCGCACGTCTAGGAAGTGTCTAGGAAGTGTCTAGGAAGTGTCTCCGCGCCGTAGCTGGCGTAGCCCGGCCGCACCGGCAGCGCGGCGAGCGCGTTCGTCCGGACAGCGAACACGCGCCGCCCGGCCTCCTCGAGCGCCTCCACCCTGTGCGCGCCCATGCCGTGCCGGCAGAAGCGCGTGAGCGCCTCGTCCGAGAGCTTGTCGCCCCACTCCGGCGCGTGCGGCGGCGAGTGCGGCGGGTAGACGTCGCCGACGTGCGTCGCGACGTACGCCTCGGGGTCCTCGCCTAGGAAGGGTCTAGGAAGTGTCTAGGAAGTGTCTAGGAAGGACGTACGCCTCGGGGTCCTCGCCTACAGGAAGGTTCTTGGAAAGGTCCAGGCGAGGTTCCAGGAAAGGAAGGTGCGCCTCG